TTATTATTATTATTATTATTATTATTATTATTATTATTATTATTATTATTATTATTATTATTATTATTATTATTATTATTATTATTATTATTATTATTATTATTATTATTATTATTATTATTCCAGGTAGATGCAGAGTCAATCTCACTTTCAAACTACAGATTATACTTTTTAATTTTTTAAATAGCCTATAAACTTATCGTGTTAATGAAAAGGTGATGGAGACTAGTGGAAGGTTACTTTCTCCATGGCAATGAAAACAAAAAAGCTTGTTTACCCAACAGCTTGTAAGGCGAGCTCATCGTTACCAAATAAACTGGACTTGATGCTACATGGCTATCAACAGCTTTAACAACAAACGTGGAAGTCTTAGAATTGATCATAAAAAGTCCGTTAACCAATTTAGGAACATGTTCTAATGTGTTAGTTTAGAGACGTGCCACGGCACCTTGGACAACTTATTCATTTGTTCTCTACTGCTTGATACTTCTCACAGTCCCTGTTCTTCAAACACTTATAACAGTTGAGAACAGTTAACCTTAACAACAATATGCAGCAGAACTTGATAGTAAAATGTGAATGTGTGGACGGGTATGGGTGGGGGTGGGGGGGGGTGGCAGTAGTCCTATCAACGAAACAGGGCCCTGCAGAAAATCTTTAGGAACCTCTGCTGTACACCAAGAAGCCCTGACCTGCCACGATGACCACCACAGGTGAAGACCTGGAGGTTCTGTCCTCTGTTCAGAGGAGAGCGGCTGAAGCTCTGACTCCAGTGCCAGTCTGTCGGACTTGGGCTCAGCCAGCCTGACCAAACATGGTGACCACAGTGTCGTTCACACTGCTGCCCTCTGACCGCCCGTGTCAGCCCTCATGACTTCAGCTGGCGTCCTTGGTAACTCACCTTGCTCCGAGAGACACAGGAAGTCGGATCAGAGCAGTGACACCGTGGTAGGTGATAAATGTTTTGTACACCTGCACTTGGGGCTGGAGGGAGTGTTGTCTACAGTATTAGTGTGTGTTCATTCACACACACACGTGCAGCTGTTAATACCTCAGGGTTTAGGGCTTTTTACCCGACCAGAGCAGAGATGTCTGCCAATGTTCTGATCCAATCTATTTTATTAAAGCTGTGGTGAGAGCAGTTAGTAAACCTGATGTTACAGCAGCTCATTTGGAATATGTCTTACTAAAAAAAACTGTAAAAGGTGCAGCTTATGTTTCATCTTTATGTCATACTGGCTCTTAGGTCATTTCCATCAGAAACCTCACAGCGTTGGTATGAAAACGTCCAAAAACAATGTGTTGATATGACTGGGTTGAACATCGACATCACGGCTACAGCAAAGAAACAGGTTGTGAAAAAACATTCTGACTGCGACTGAAACTGAACTAGTTGATTTTTTCAAGCACCATTCTTATAAATGCCATTTTCTTCTAAAAATAAAATTGATCTCATTATATTCAACATACCTAAACCTAAAGCCTAGAAAGACAACTTCAACTTATCAGGGTGGAAATAGTTTGTACACCGTACGCTGCTCTGACTATTTTATTTATGGTTAAATAATTTTTTTAAAATTAAGATCTTCAATCTTCAGGGAAAACAAATATTTATTTTCAAATGTCAACTTTATATTATAGAACAGACATATGTATAACAACAACATCAAAATAACTAATAATCAAATATATTTTAAACTCAGCCATAATTTTGTCTAAGGAAGTTTTTTATAATGATTGAAAATCTGGTTAATAATGTAAATAAAACACCTACAAAGTTGCTCTCAAACTAAAAATAATTTGAATATGCATTTAAGAAAAAGGTCCAGCCAATTTAGTTAATAACTAAAAAATCATATCCATGATAAATAACCAGACAGAAAATGTTACTAGAAGAATTACCAGATTAATAATCCTCAATAGATTATTTAACTTTTCTGAAACAAAATTGTATCACAAAATTATTCACTTCAATAATTTGTCATATTCCCAGATTATTAACTAAGGAAGTTAGAAGTCTATCTTTGTTGTGTTACCTTTATTTGTAATCAATATTTAAAACGTGTGTGTGTGGATTAAATATGGTTATTAGAACTTTTTTTAAATACTAACTTAGTGGGGACTTTTTGCTGGGCTCTAGTGGAGGAGGGGTATTTTGAGGTTATTATTATCATTATCATAATTATTATTATTATTATTTTAGAGTTATGATTACAATTAGGAATACGTTTTATTAGTTAATGTTGAGGGAATACATTAGCTCTGTGTTAGGTGCTCAAAAAAACCGCGTGTGTGTGTGTGTGTGTGTGTCGGAGAGTGGGTGGCTCTCTCATATCTAGAGCCTATCACGTCCCTCCTCTGTATCAGACACTCCTCCATAACATGACCACTTCACTAAATGTATATATCACAGGTTCGAAAACACAGCATGTGTCTGAGTCACTGGCTGCGACTCAGCGTCTCGAAAACACACATTTACTCAGGTGCTAAAGACAACGTTTGAAGATAAATATTCTGAAATGAAGAGGATTTGAAACGATGGCTCTGAAGCACCAAGGGAACCACTGAGGTCTGGGGGCATGTCAGTGCGCTTTGACTGAGGACCACAATCCACACTTTGTTGAGTTCAGGTTTTACACCCCTTTATTTGACCGAGGACAAAAAAGAAGACTTATGCCATTGCGCACAGACCTGGAGGGCGGCTGCAAATGGGCGGCATAGGTGGCAACCTCTACCTCAGCATGTTGA